AATATATTGATATATATTGTAAAAATATACCGGTAACATATGTAAATATCTAAGTATATGTTATATATTACAAACCTTATATTTATATTATATAAGTAATAAACAAAACATCACCCAGGAAGGCTTCCTTCCATCATGTGAAGAGGGTAGGAAAAGGTTTGTTGGTGCCCTGAGGGTGCGTGCCACCCACAAGGAAGGGACTGGCTGATATGGATGCACATATAAATGACGGTGTCAGTTTCTCCATGCTTTACACTTTAGGAGCTAGAGCTTATTTGTTGTCAAAGAATATATTTGGAGGAAGAAGCAGAAAGTAGAATAGTGGTTACCAGAGCCCAGGAAGGATGTGAGTAAAGGTGGGAGCTGGAGAGAGGATGATTAATGGTTACAGAGCTGTCCTTGCGTAAGCAGAGTGACTTCTAATGATCTGTAGCATGGTAGGGAGCTATGGTTGACCGTGAATTGTATGTTTCACATGAGCTAACAGACAATTTTTTTTAATACCAGGGATTAAACTCTGGGGCACTCGGCCACTGAATCCCATCCCCAGCTCTTTTTTGTATATTATTTAGAGACAGGGTCTCACTGAGTTGCTTAGCGCCTCACTTTTGCTGAGGCTGGCTTTGAACTCACGATCCTCCTGCCGTATCCTCTGGAGCTGCAGGGATTACAGACATGCGCCACACTGGCCGGCTTAATTTTAATTTTTAATTAAAAAAATTTTTTTTAGTTATAAATGGACACAATAGCTTTTATTTATTTATTTATTTATTTTTAGAGTACTAGGCAAGCGCTCTACCACTAAGCCACAACCCCAGCCCTAGTATCCTGCTTATCAAATCATCTGTGCTCATCTACCTCTTTAAGAACATTGAGGGGCTGAGATTGTAGCTCAGTGGTGGAGCACTTGCCTTGCACTCGTGAGGTCCTGGGTTCAATCCTCAGCACCACATAAAAATAAATTAAAATAAAAGATATTGAATCCACCTACAACTAAAAAAAAAATAATAATAACATTGAGGTTTCATTGTTTACCTGCAGTAGTCCCAATCTGAGCTACTCAAAAAAGAAACTGCCCTGAGCCGTGAATGACTGCCAAGGATTGTGGAGCCAAAACATATTCCATCAATGAGCACGCATCGAGCACGAACTTAATGGCAGGCTCTTTGCAAGCTACAAGGATTCAAGGTTCATGACACAGTCCCGGCCATGGGGATCTAGGGTAGAGAGGAAGCCAAGCAAAATGGACCATGTGACATAGAATGGTAGACCCTCAACAGAGAAATGAGAGGGAACACTGAAAACACAGTGAACGACTGAAGCAGTCACAAAAGATAGAAGTGTGTGTGTGTGTGTGAGGCTCTGGAGTACGATCGGGAGTGTTCTGGGTGGACAGGGTAGGTACGAGGGCAGACACGGAAAAGAAGGCTGGACACTTGTGCTGTATTTCTGACACGTTTTCTTCTCCCAGGTGATAGTAAACGAGACGAGCATCTCTACAGCTTCATCCATCGCGTCCCGCGAGTTCTGAGAAGATGGTAGAGGTGTGGAGAGATGTCCTCCTCAACTCCATGGAGGTCTCCCAGAGAGTGGCCGGGCTCCCCAGGGTTGAGGCCTTCCCAGAGTCCATGAACAGAAATGATTCCTCCTTCCCCCTTCCCTACCCTTGGGGAGTAAAACTTTGCCAGACTTCATGGGATTTGCTTTGGAGTGAGAACAGCAAAACAAAACAAAACCAAGTGGTCATCACCAAGAGGGGTGTGGGCATTCCAGGGGAGGGATCAAGGAATCAAAGAAGATAGATCTTTCTGGGACACAGAGAACGAAAGATAAGTCACTGAAATTTCTGAGACATTAGTAACACCATCCTTATATAGTACTTATTCGATGTCAGACACTGTGAACCAAAAGCCCGACCCAGTTTCAGATGCCCAAACCGAATTGTTAGGGAGCAGTCCACAGCCACAGACAGGGCTGGGTTGGTGTCGGGGGAAACTTGGTCATTTGAGGAACATGAGATGAGATTTCTGAATTCATCCATTTGAAGGCTGTTCGTTTTGTTATCAAGGCTGCCCCTTGTCTTGCTCAGGAAGCGGAGAAGTGAGAACCTGAAATTCTCAGCCCAAGCCCAGTTAGAGAAACACAGAAGTTCAATGACGGGGCGCAGAAGTGCAAGTCTGTGATCCCAGCAGCTTGGGAGACCGAGGCAGGAGGATCGCAAGTTCAAAGCCAGCCTCAGCAACTCAGTGAAGCCCTAAGCAACTCAGCAAGACCCTGTCTCTAAATTAAAAAAATAAGAGGAATGGGGATGTGGCTCAGTAGTAGACACCTCATCTCAATTCTGGTACAAAAAAAAAAAAAAGTTCAATGGCAGCCCGTTGGGAGCTGCCCTGAATGCAGATGCCTTTAGGTCCTGAAGCACTGGGTTCTGAACAATTATCGCCTTCAGTCTGGCAGTGCTAGGTCTAGGTCGCAGTAACTTGGGCGTTACCCCAGCTTCCAGGAGTAGGCGTCACCTGCTGGGGTTGAGTGACACTCACCTGTTCCTTTGTAATCCTACCCCTCTGCCCTTTTGGGGATAGAATATTCCATGGAACAGCTTCCCCCAGTAACCCCACCCCCACCCCAAATTCGAGGCGTGCTCTCTCTCTTTCTTGCCTTCCTTGCCTCCTTTGTGGGAGCTGGTTCAGAACCCAAAGAAAAAGGTATTTCTCTGTCTCTGTGTGATTATTTTGTGCCAGCCCAGTTCACCTGGAGTGACCCTAACTGGTTTAGTCATATGCTGTGACAACGGCCCTCAAATAATGCCCCCCTACCTTTTTTCCTCTAATTCAAAACCTTACCAATTTATTTGGCCAGAAACCTGCAGGATCTATGTTTGAAAATTATTGTCTTGGTTTTAAATCAAGGAATATATAATTTATTATTGGTACAAGCACAATTTATACACATGGAGGCAGAGACCAGATTTTGGTTTTGCACCCATTCAGATAGGCCCTGTAGCATGACAAACCTCCCCAAAACATACTGGTTTAAAACAATAATTTATCGTGTCTTCCAGGTCTACGGTTCTCTGGACTCACAGGGTGTGTCATGTGGTTCTGATCAGAAGTAGGAAGGGGAGAAGCTTCTGGAGCATGTGTTGGGCTGGGCAGATGCTTTCCTCCCTGCTAGCTCTTCACAGCAGGTGACTGAACCGCCCTGGGCTGGCAGGTCATCTCTCCGTTTCTGTGACCTCCATCGCCATCTCAGATTTCCTCAGTCATGGACTTCAGATGTCTCATGGTAGCAGGGCTTACTGAATGGTGACAGGCTTTCAACAGAGTGACCTGTCCAAAGGGCTCAAGCAGAAGGTGCAAGGTATCATAGGACCTAGCTCTGAAAGTCATACAGTGTCCCTATATGTCTATTTTTTTTAAGAGAGAGTGAGAGAGGAGAGAGAGAGAGAGAGAGAGAGAGAGAGAGAGAGAGAGAGAGAG